GCCACAGCGCACATATGTAATTTCTTGTAACGCCTTGGATAAATTTTATATTTTTTATTTTTATTTGTGTTTGTCCTTTTTGTTATTAAATTTAATTTTTCATTTTTATTTGTGTTATAATTTCTTCTTTTAACGCCTATGTTTCATATGTCCTGTGTTACTTTTTTGTACTATAGTTATTTCGAATTTTTCATATGTATTGCATGTATGTACATTTTGTGACAAATATGTCAATTATCACATCTTTGTTATTGAAAGCTTTGAGTGGCACTGCAATTGTTATGGATAGGCTTATTGCTTACCGCCAGGTCTACGTCTTGTACCCTCACTTGGTGTCATAAACAAAAAAAAACTCTTTTACCCATGCGACTGCCCCAGAAGAAAGGTCATGTTTTTCGAGTGTACAGAGTTATCACAAAGTGACTCTTTGCAGCAGCCTAAATTTATGGTGTCAAAAGGAAGGTGGGAAAAGGAATCTCAGAACAAGAGCTACATGAACACAAGCTCGACTGCTCTATTTAGCTAGTGGCTGCTCGAATGTACATTAGTCGTCCAAGACTTTATGACACACAACAGATACCGAGGATTGACGGAATTGGTATGTCGAAACTGAGACAACTCTGGCACGCAGTAGCATAAGGTAATAAGAGAAATACTATTAGAACCACTCTCCGTGTTCATGTCAAGACTGCTAGGTATTTTAAGTACTTTGTTTTGATGGATACAATCTCCGGTATAAAAGTAATCCCGGTTAAATTTTGGAAATATCATCTAGACGTAAATTATCTGCAAAATGAGAATTACAAATTAGATTTCTCTTTGGTGGTATAAGTTTGACAGACTTGGGTGAATGTAGATCTATTATTAAGCTTTATTTTAGAAAAAAGTATCTGGATGTGGAATAAAGTACGTTTTTGTTTTTAAAAATAAAGTAATTGCGTATTTGACCCCGTCTCACTTGATTGAAAGTTATAATTTAGTCGACGATGGAGCACGCACATCTTTATATTGAATACCCATTCACTTAATGTTGAAAAGCTCCAAACTTATTTATTTAAACATAAAAACCATGTCATCTACAGAAACGCTATTATATTTGTACGAGCTACTGGGACTTGTAGAATGTCCTCGAGCCCCCCGCAGCGCGCCTTTTGGAACCCTTACTCTTGTAACTCAAGCACTTTTAGATTATGAATTCTCCCTAATTAATATAAGGAAAGCATATTTTGCCAAGGTTACCTTACTAATTATCTTTAGTTCATTATATATCCTACCATTCCTATCACGAAAAATGTAGGATACCTACATTAAAGAGTAAAACGGACAGACTTCGTACTCCTCTAAATAGGAATGTAAGAAGCCTGTTTTAAAACCTCTCCACCATATTAGGATTCACCATAGGATTCCAAATCACATTGCTGCTTGCCAATGACCTAGACATCTTCCGGTCCCTCCGGCCGCGTAGGAATTTGGGAACTGGGAAGACGCCGCTCATTCGGCGTCTGGAAGTGAGCGTGGCTTACAGCTCCGCCACCTATGAGGAGATTTGGTAGTCGACTTAGAGTCGGCGGCAAACGTTAGTCGTGCGGAGCGCGACGACGTGTCTACAGCTCCGGTACCTATCTGGAAAATAGGGAGGGTGCTGTACGTTCAACCGGGGTAGGTCACCTAAGGCACTAGCCTTACAGAGAACCGGATGTAATTCGTGCAAACGGGCGGGTTAGGACCTGATTTAGATGGTCCCTGAGCGGGTTCGCTCGCACAGGTAATAGTGCCCTTCCCGCATGACCAAGAGGTTGATATGGAGAAGCACTACAAACAAAACTTATGTAGAAAGATATGGGACTGTTTTATGAGTGAATTCATAAAGATAGCGCTGTATATCTATATATGTTACATATAGCAAATTCGCTGGTCTATTGCATTGGGCGGATAAACTGTAATAATAGATTGAGTTTTGGAAATAAATTCAACGCAAAATTACCCTAAGATTCACTATATACGAGATGTGAGTGAAGCAGAGCTGTGTTTTGTTATTTTGAGGTCTTAATAAGTCTCAATGAGGTTAAAATAAGTAAATAATATCACAAGTACAGTTTTCCTGCACTCCGCTTTAAGCAAACTTCAAACTTCAATGTCCAGATTTCGGAAGCTGTAAGTTAATTCAGGTAGTTGGTTGTAGACCGATTTATTACCCTAGGAATTAGGGTCGATGTTACATTCCACATTTATGTATAGAGCACCTTAACCCTCTGCTGAGTGGTGGAAGAAAGCACTCCAACCAATATGTCAAATTATATTTTAATTTTTTCGGTGGTATCAGCGTCATATCAGAGCTTTGGAAGCATTCTTTTCCCTTTTTTTTTCTACCCTGTTCTATCCTTCTTTATTTTCCATTTCTTCACTCTCTGTCGTGTCACCTCCTTCTCTGACCCTTTTTATACCTAGTTGCCCCACGACACCCACATGGTAATTTTCATTACCACTCCCACAGTATTCATCCTCCCTGCTTCCTGAGAGCTCCTACCCTTTCGGTTTTTTTCCGTCTCCTTGTTGGCATCTTCATTCAGACCTTGTGATGAACTAGGTTGAAGTATTAAATCGGAACACCTGTATACATATTATCGTTCTCCTTCAATGACAGAGTCATTGATTCTGCGTCAAAATTATTATTATGTTGCATCACTAACTCGAGATAAGGGTACAGGCTTGCCACATTGTAGCGGCCACCTACCTGCTTTCAATTCTCGAAGTGAAGAAAAAATGACGTTCACCGTGAAAACCTGATTTTGTTACACCGCGTGTATCGGCACGATCTTCCCGCGCGTGTGACGACACGGGACTGAGGCAGTATTTGTGAGATTTTGCTCTTTATAGACTAGTTTGACACATTTAAACCGCAGATTAAACATAAACAAAAAAGAAATATTAATACCTACAAGATTCCAATAATACCTTCCAATAATTTAAAAGATACCAATTGCGTCTTTAGCAAAATATATAAAAATTAAAACAAGAGAAGTTAGAAAAATATAAGCGAACGTTTGAAAACACCATTTTCATTTTATTTATTTATTTATTTATTTATTTAATTAATCAATATTGCGAGTGGGCTCACAGAGCGTATCCAAAACACCCACAAGCTTAGGCAACATTACAAATTATTGATAAAGAATTGCGATACAATTAAAATAAAATAAAATTATAGATACAATTTAGCTTACAAATGTCAAAACCTTAACCTACTTAGTATCTAATTTCCTACACGTAAAAAGTCATTATTTAAAAATATGTTCGCGTTCCTAAGAATTTGTCCAAAGGAATCAGCAAATAAGTCCTTGTCATAGTGGTCAGCGAGCATATCTCCGATGAGCGTGAGTGCCCGCGCGGAGGGCGCATGCGCAGCGCGAACGGTGCGCACTGCCGGCCGCTGCAGCAAGCGCAGCCGCCTACGCGGTGTCACTATCCCAGCCTCATCCCAACTAATGCGAGAGGGCACCTGAATGCTAAATTTCTCGAGAATATCTGGACTATCGATTTTATTATGAACGATTGATAGGTAGTGTAGTACTAGCATCCATTTTCGCCTAAATGCAAGTGTTTCTAAATCGACCATAGCAGTTACAAATAAGGAGGGGTAGAGAAACTGATAGTACCCATAAGTTCTCTTATATAACCATCGAGCAAATTTACGTTAAAGTCTTTCCACCATAAGGTTATATTTATTTTCATGAGGATCCCAAATGATAGCGCCGTATTCGAGTTTACTGCGTACATACGCATTATACAAAACCTTTGCTACTCTACTGTTCTGGAATTGTGACGCAATTCTCATAATAAAACCCAAGGTTTTGCTAGCTTTCTTGCACATTTCAGTCACGTGATTATGAAAATCCAGTTTGTCATCTAATATTAAACCTAGGTCGCGAATGTACTTACCCCTTAACCAAAATAGGAAAAATGTTACGTTCACCAAAAGACCACCTTCCTTTACAAACACCGGGTGTCTATAAAGTGAACTGCAGTTGTGGGAGCTCGTATATCGGTCAGACTAAACGAACAATTGTCGATCGTATGAAGGAACACATCCGAGCAGTAAAAAACAATGATGCACAGAAGTCGGCTATAGCACAACATCTCACACAGACTGACACTAACCACTGGATCGAGTTGCATAGCCCCCAGGTACTCTCGACAGAACGTCACTACATACCACGGTTGGTACGAGAAGCCATCGAGATCACGAAGTACAAAACATTTAACCGTGATGATGGTTTTAAACTGTCCAGTGCATGGAATCCGGTCCTTAGTGCGTGCAGTAATAAAAACAAAAACACCTCGAGTTCAGTTTCGCGTGTGGATACAGTAAGTGTGGTTTGTGTGAAAAAAGTGAGTGACAATGGTAACGCCACAACAAATCGCGATGAAGGTAGTCGTCGACAGCGCAAGAGGGTAGACAGATATGTCTGCCCATAAAGCTGTCATCTGCCGCCGTCCAGTCAACCCGTGACCATGGAGCGTGCAACCGTTCCGAAATATCGGGAAAATAAAAAGAAGTTATACCGTGGTAAGAAACCTGTTACTAGTGATAATCATTTAGTGAATAACCACGAAAGTCTTAAAATCTATATAGTTATTAACTCTATCCATTGGAGCGTCATTTAAACTATATCTAGTAAAAAGGGGTGATCGTTTACGCGTAAAAGTTATCACTTTGCACTTATTTTCATTTAGTGGCAATCTATTGACTCGACTCCATTCGGATACGGCGTCAATATCACATTGGAGTGCCTCAGCATCTGCCGCCTTACTAATCCTCGTGAAGAGCTTTAAATCGTCCGCGAATAGAAGACATTTGGCGGATCGGACATGGTGTGGTAGTTCATTAATCATGAGTAAAAATAGCGTTGGCCCCAGGGTACTTCCCTGACTCACTCCGGATCTTGTACAGTATTTAAAAGACTCATAACCATTAACTCTAACATACTGGTTTCTCCCACCCAAGTAACTCGCAGAAAATTGCAGAAGTTTGGGCGTAAAGCCTGAAGCTGCCAGTTTCTGTAATAATATGTCATTATCCACAACATCAAATGCCTTTTTAAGGTCGAAGTAAGCGGCGTCTACTTGTCCTCCCAAATCCATTTCAGTGCATGTATAATCAACTAGAGACACGAGGTTGGTATTTGTCGATCTAGCTACGCGGAAGCCGTGTTGACTATTGTGAAGGATGTTGCGGACTTGTATAGTTATGTGGGAGTTTAATATTATTTCAAATATTTTACCATTAAATAAAAAGAATATATCTTAGTCAGTAATTTTATGTAACGTGATTTGTAAGTGGAAAACCCATAACGACTATGGGTATATGAGCGGAAATAAACTGAATTAATATAAAAAATGTATTCTGAAATAATAAAAAATATATAACATCTATACAGTGTCGATAAATTTGACGTCCGCTTTTTGTAAGTATCTCCTTCCCTTCTTTGTTCTTTTTTGACGAAGATCAATTCTCACTCTTATTTTATTACGTCGAAATGGCATTTTTCGAAAATATATAAAAAATATGTGTATAATATTTCAAAACTGAACCGTGTATATACCAAATAAATATTATTAAATCCATTATATATAAACTACTTCAGTGGCCACTGTTTTTAACTGTGGCCAATTTAACTAAAATGTTATTCACAAACAAGTTCGTGTGTTTGTTTTTTGTCATCAATCAAATAAACTACTCAAATTATCAGGATATGTCAATGTGGAAAAAATAATAAATAATAAAGAACCGACCACGCAATCACAATATTTTATTTATATAGAATTTGTTCAAAATAAATGTGTTAATTGTACAATGACAATTAAATATGTAACGAAAACATTACCTACAATTACAGGCAGGTTAGCGTCTATTGACACTATCCTCAAGACGTTGATTTTAAAAGGACGTGCCTCCACATATCGGACAAATCTCATGATGTCATCCACGTCTTGGTTCCCTAAAACGTATTTTTTTTTGGTTCAGTATTCGATTTAGGCCAACTTTAAAATTTTTACGCACAAAAGTAAGGTTTCTTTCAGAATTTTGACGCAGACGTCGATATTTCGTTATTCTTCTACCTTATATTTAAAACCTGTGCATACAACAAGAAATTGTAAGTAAAATAACATTTTTTACCATGTCTTGTAATTATTTTGTTGTGCAATACAACTTTGAGTTTCTCAGCTTCACTGGCAAGCGCGTCTGCGGCGTACGCTGGAGAACATATCAAAAACGCTATATGCGAGATGTTCAAGGATACCATCACGATTAGAGGTGTATTCTGAAACAAGCGATCTTTAATTTCTTTCTAAACGAGATAAACAAAGAGCGAGAAGGCGTCGAAGCTATTACTGTTATCCAAGTTACCATTGCTCCTACGTTATATAATACCAGGATTAAATAAATTACAACCATTAAGTGTGGAATATGCCACAGCAAGGCAAGACCAACCTGAAAATAAAAACCATTCTTGATACGTTTACGCAAAAATATGTTGATTAGACGAAATTACAAATATCATCCAACAAACCGTAAAGGTACATGTTATTTTGCATTTTTCTGTAATTTCGATCAATCTTTTATACAAATATTGACAAGTTACTATATCCACTTCGAAATCCCGCACATACTCCGTGAGTGATTTCAATCTGCAATATACTGAATAATATGCACTGACGTTAACTAAGTAGGGCAAATCTATTGACAATACAGGTATATGGATAAATAATTTAAGACCCAAATCAAAAGCACAGAAATTATGTTCAAACTTATAGCAACTAATAAACAAGTTTGTGAATTTATGAATAGATGAAACTATGTAAACTATTATTATCTTAATACTTAAGTCATGCCTGTGATAATCTACACCCAATTCTTTGTCAAACGCAAGTAAATCTTTAAGTATTTGATAAAAGGAATTTTTTGAACTCAGTCGAATGAAGAACAAGCAACAGATAAAATATTCAAAACATATTTTTAGATAAAAGTAGAGGTAATTTCCATCTAGCGTAATCATGTTTATACCAACAATTATAGAACATTGCATAAATGCGAACAATTTAAAAAAACACTTTTGTCTTGAGGATTTATATGCAACAAAACCGAAGTCAAATGAAAAACAGAATTGTATTAATAAAAACAAAACACGCTTCACTTTTGGTACGATTGTTTTATGTTGCGAAAGTTTGGTGTCAAATGACTTTGAATTTAATTCGCAGTTGGCCATATTAAAATTGTTCTTTACTAGACCGTGAGATTTATAACGATTAGTATGAGGTCACTTCGATCGTGGTACCTAGCAGGTACTAAGCGAGGTACCTAGTGTAATGAAATTATAATTATATGAAGAAGTAACTCCATTTTTTAAAATACAGCTACCTACGAAGAGACTGACAACAAAACTATGAAAAGATATAACAATAATACTGACTTACCATTAATCTAAATGTAATTTGTGAGCAATTGTTTTCACGGGGTGTCATTAACAAAATTGCTTTTGTATACCTGAAGTAAACTGTGGCTCTTATAATGGAAAGGGCTGAGTTTCTACTAACTTTATTTATTATAATTTCTTTATAATATCAAGTGACGGGACGAACAAGTCGTGCACCTGATGGTAAGCTACACGCCTGTCCATAACAGTGGCAGTGCCACTCACAGCTTTAAATCGCAAAGATCTGAGGGGCACTGCCACTGCGCTCGTCACCCTGGGTCATAAGTTGACAAGTCCCATGTCGTTGTAATTTCACCAGCACCCTTAACCCTTCAAAACTGGAACACAGTAACGCTGACATTACTGCTTGGCGGCAGAAATAGGTAAGGTGGCAGTATTTCCCTGGATGAACTCTTTCACAAGGAGCTCTTCTGCTACTAACTCTGACCGTTGGCGTGGACCGGATACATTTTATACTGAAGCGTTTCCCATATCACCGATTCTTCCGGCTGACCAGCGAATTTACGGTCATTGAGGCTTGCAGTATCTCGCGTAATTAGGCCAAGGTACGCGTATTCACTCGCGCTGATGATCAGCGTGACTCAAAAAATCAATCCTAGAGCGATAGTGGCTATATAGTCATATTTAAATATGCTATCCTGCTGTTCTGAATATTATTCGAGTGTGATGGTACAGAACATGCCGTCAGTTAATAAATACAGCGTTAGGAAACCTGTATTTTTAACCGTTTTGTAGTAATGATCCCGTACGAAATAGTAACTGTTTTGTTTCCGGTTAATAGTATATAAATAGATATAATAGGTATAATTACCGGTTTCATATAAAACCGGTAATTATACCTCTTATATCAGTTTTGCTTGCTGCTAACGATCTATACGGATGAATATGAGTTTCTCGGTTATGATTTTTTAAAACATATAACAATGATATTGAGCAAGCATTGTGGTATTGAGATGGTATATAAAAGTTATGGAATTTTCCTGAATGTTTAAGGGTTTACACAAGGTATATGCGGCAGGCCGACGACGCATCGAGATGTATGGTACATACAATACACTGCGTCGTTTGGTGGAATCGAATATAACAGATGTGACATAAATGTCACATATATATGCAACCACTATACAACAGACGCAGCCGTGACCTGACAAACAGGATGATAATTACACAAAATGTTACAATTATTTATATTAAGTTAATTTAGGCTATTATGTAATGCTTTAATATTTCTGCGATAATTGTATGATGGCCTTACTGTTGACCTTCTGACTTACTGTTGCCTTAAAAAGAATGAGTAGACAACAATAGCAAACAATTAAATAATTTACAAAATCCTTTAAAGGCCTTCTTTTACTCTTTCTTTCTTTCTCACAGTTATGGCCATCATGACAGGAGTAAGAAAGTAGCGAGCGTTCGGGCCTAAAAGGACCGCTACACAACTGTTGACTATTTCAGCATTTTGCTCAGTAAAGCACGTTAAGCTTTGATAGCAGTGTTGAGCGACTGTGTTAAACCGGTTTTTAGGTTCAGGTTAGATATTGTTTTTAGTTGTTTTAAAATATTGTTTAATTTACTGGTAAAGCAAATAATAATAAATTTTCCAATATATGATCAAATTTGAACACGACATTTTTAAACATGTTGTAAGCCCTGAATGAATTATTAATAACCAAGCACAGGCTAATTATTAATAATTTAACGATGATGTCAAACAAATGCAGAAACAATTTTTCCTCTTTATTTACGAAAAGAGTCAATATTTTAAAATCATTGTGCAAAGTCCTGGCTTGGGTTCGGACCAACTATCATGTTACATGAAGAATGGGTCTACTTAGATGTTATTTTACAACTACCTAAGAATGAATTTAGTAGTTGTTTAGTAGCAGTAGAGCTTCTTGTGAAAGAGTCCGTCACGTGAAGTACGCCACCACACCTATTTCTGCCGGCAAGCAATAATGTGACAAGTACTGCGTCCGTAATTTGAAAGGCCAGGGTACTGGTGAAACTTTCTGGCAGTACTCCTCAGATCTTTGCGATTTTAGAACGGCGATGCAAATGCGATGCAGTAGCGATGCAGTCGCCAATCGTCTACCTTTTCATACGCGCGCGACTTTAAGCTGCGCAACGCGATGCGAACGTGATGCAAACGCGATACAAACACGATACAAACGCGATGCACGTTTTAAATTAATTAACTAATTTATTTATTTAATGTATTTATTAACGAACACCAGCCCGTTACACCAAGTACCAATGTATTTATTAATTTCACTTTTAAATTTACAATTAACAAAAAAAATAACGCGCAAAATATTGATTTTTCGTATATAATTATTCAACATAAGAGACTGTATCGATGCAGTCGCGCGTTTGTATCGATGCAGTTGCGCGTTTGCATCGATGCAATAGCCCATAAATCGCACATTTCACGTCGCTTCTAAAACTCTAAAAGCTCAGAATTCGAATGCAACTGCTGTGGATAGGCATGTCGCTACCACCAGGTGCATGACTTGTTCGTCCTGTCAATTTGATATCATAAAAAAGTAAACTAAACTTAAAAGTCAAGGTTTTCCTATCATAATAACATCTAAGTTAGTAAGAAACATAGTGTAAACTCACCTTATATGAGTAATTTGATTATAATGT